GAGTGAGGAAGAGACTTGTGCAAGAACCTCCATTTTTATAAGGAAGATTTTGATGAGAGTTAAGTGGGAAAAGTTTGAAGAGTTATTTGTTGTTCAACTTATTAAACCAAATATTTGTTTGCAGATATTTGATGCAATCTAAAGACAGAATTGCAATTTTTATTTCAAATAGACTTTGTAAGTATCCACCCAATTTTAATAACACATTATACTTTTACATATATCCTCTCTAATGGGATTAGGAGAAACAGAGATGTGCAAAGTATATAATTTACTCATTAACAACGATCCTCCATTCTTGTTGTTTTTCGCCTCTGATGATTTACCATTTGACTACAGGTTTCAGTGATTTCTTGAGCCTAATCAATCCTTCATTCCCATTCACACCTTGAACAAACAAGGCACATTTGGTTCTTCCACCAACTGTCATGATATCAGCTCTCATCGCCTTCGCATTTGCTGCTTTCATCGACTATTCTACTTCCGTCATTAGCCCTTCTCTGTCACTACAACTGAACACGACCCTCGCCATGTCTCTGTTGTTAGAGTGACCTAATCATAAGCTGTCTTCTAAAGCTGGCGTGGTTGGTATCTCCTTGACCATCTTTTTCAATTCATTGAAATACCTAACGGTCTCTCCTAACACAGATGCTTTATCTTGCTGTTTAAACATGAAAAAAGGTGTTAATTCTCTGGAGAAACATCTTAATATTGTGTAAATGAATGCAAATATAAAATTTTACTTTGATCAAGTTTGGAAGAATTGTGCGAAGAGTTGCGAATTGGCAATTAATCCGCAGTCGTCGTCTTCTCTCTGCGTCGCTATGTTTCTTTGCAGCGACTTCTTTACATTCGGTTTTCGATTTTGGCTTTTCGGTTGAAAAACCTCTAGAGAAGAGCTTGCTGCTTGTTGTTGTACCAGTGAAGAAATTTCATCCCATTGTTGTTGAATACATCGTTGGATTGTATCGGACGCATCCCTTGCTCTAACACAACACAAGAAACAAACAAAATCATATAAGATTGATTCAGAGAGAGAGAACAAGTTTGATTGAACATAGAGGAAAAAACAGAGATACTTACATGTTGAAGTAAAACCATGGTGATACAGAGAGAGAAAGAGACGAAAAACAATGGAGGAGAAATGTTGATTTGTTGTGTGTGAATATAAAGACATATAAAAACATGTAAATATAAGAAAGATATGAAGAATATCACAAATGTAATAAATGGGTGATTAATGAAAAATAAACATTGATTGAGATTTTAACTTTAGATTATCCTCTGTATATTAACAGAGGAAACATTAATGAAAATCCTAATTGTCATCCTAAGAGGGTTTTAAAGAACTTATTTCCTAATAAAAATTGGGACAATTGCAAAAATGTCACTTTTTGTGCGCACATTTGCAAGAATACCACTTATGAGTATCTATTTACAAAAATACCACTAATTCTATATTTATAAAGCCTATATCTTAAAATTCTAAACCCTAAAAAATGTTTTGACCCCTAAAACCCTTTAAACACTCAAAACTAAACCCTAATACAACATAGTTAATACAAACATAAATTATACAATGAAAAAATAATTTTGAAAAAGTGGTATTTTTTGAAATTTCTCATAAAAATTGCTAAAAATTTTTAATAACAAATATATAGAAATAATGAATATGAAGTAATTAATATAGATAATTTTATTTAAAGAATATAGAAAATATTTGAAAATATCTTATTTTCTTTTCAATAATACTATATTTTTTTGTCCGAGTCAAAAGCGGTATTAAAATATTCAAAAAAAATTCACGATTATTTTTAATAGATGGGAGAAATGAAAAATAACAAAGATAAAATATATTTATGTTTGATCAAAATTAGTTTTATTATATTTATACACAATACATATCATTTTTATGTGTTTATAAATGTTTGAATACACGTCTAAATATTAAATTCAAATAAAAATATACTTAATTTTTTAATTCCACGCTTGGCGTGGGTCAAAATCTAGTTACAATATG